CAGAGGGTGTGTGCGGATGAATGGAACAGGAACGTGCCACCACTGATGCCTCTTGTTAACAGGGACCCCGTAGCCGAGGGCTGACTTCATGTCTTCCATGGAATGTTCTTTTCTTCCCCTTTTTTCCCATCCCGCAGTGGGCAGACACCAGCTACTTCAGAGCTGAATTTCCTCAGGAAAGCCCAGACTCTGGAGACCTATGGGGTTGACCCACACCCTTGCAAGGTAAAACACTTTTCTGGGCAGTACTCCTTGCGCTGATTTCTCGCTCTGGCTGGTGCCACGCTGCAGAGGTGCCAGTGACAGGCCCCAGGTGCAGCCGTTGGCACCAGCCAGAGGGCTTGGGTGCTGGCAGGGCCGTGGCATGTGGGGTGTGCTGGAGCCAGGAGCCCTCCCCAGCCTTAAAACCCAGCCCCAGCCAGGCCTGTGAGCGCAGAGGGGAGCGGGGAGGGGAGTGCTCAGAGTCATGGAACCGTAGAGTCTTGGAATCATAGACTGGTCTGGGTTGGGAGGGACCTTAAGGTCATCTAGTTCCAACCCCCCTGCCATGGGCAGGACACCTCCCACTACAGCAGGTTGCTCAAAGCCCCATCCAACCTGGCCTTGAACACCTCCAGTGGTTTTTCCACCTCCCAACCCAGTGCCCCCTGGTACCGGCCCGTGACACTGTGGTTCTGGGGTTCTGCCAACACCCTGCTTCTCCCTTTCCCAAAGGTTTTCCCAGATTTAGGAAAAGCCAAAGCACTCTGGGCAGCCCGAGACCTGCGCTGCAGGAGCTGGTTTCTGTGAGGATGTGCAGAAAACTTCCTCCCTCCCCAGGACAGGGCTGCAGCATCTCAGGCTCAATGGGTTTGGGCATTTCCACCTTGCCTTGTGCAGGGTGCCAGGTGGAGGTTCAGGACTCTCTGCTTTCAGCCATTTACAGATTCACTGATTTTTGGTCCAGTTTGCGTTTATAATCAATTTGTTTTCTGCTTCAATTTGGAAGATCTTCTCACAACACAGCACCAGAAATGCTGAGCCTGGCCTGCACCTTCCCCCCAGCTCAGCACCCTCCGAAAGCCATCTGAACATCTGCCAGCCAAACAAAAGTCAGGGCAAATCTAACAATTACCCAGTAGCCACAACTCCTCCATTGTATCTTTTTAACTTCAGTCTATCCCTGTCTTTTTTTCTGCACACACCAGTGCAGTTAATTGCTGCTTCCCTGGAGCCTGGACATTATGATTAAGTTAAACTGCTGCCTTGCTCTGTCCATGACACTAATTACTGGGTTTAGAGCACCTCGGTGCTGCACTGGCTGTGTGGGGCTCTGAGGGAGCCGAGTGCAACGGGGCTTTTAACCATGGCCTGGTGTGATTGCTAGTGGAGGAGCTGGCAAGGTGCCCCCTTCGCTGCCCACTGCTCAGCAGTAAGCAGATGGAAGTGCTGTGGCTGGGAGCTGGGTTGTGGTTTCTCCTCAGTGCCCCTGCCCAGCTGCCATCGGCTGTGGTTTGGCTGCTGTGCAGGTTGCCACGGGCTGGGTGAAGCTGCCAGGAGCATCCCAGCAGCAGGGTTGGCACGGGGGGTTCTGCACCATCACCCTCATTAGGGCTGAGGGTCACCGTGGCTGTACAGGCTTTACCAGCTCGGTGTCCTTTGGATGAGAAATGGCTGTTGTGTTCCAGGACGTGTCGGGGAACGCGGCGTTTCTGGCCTTCACTCCCTTCGGGTTTGTGGTTCTGCAGGGAAACAAGAGAGTTCACTTCATCAAATGGTGAGTTCCTGCTCCAGCACCACCCCCTGTGCCCGGCTGGCTTGGAGCCGTGCTGGCTGGCTCAGCTGTGGGCTCACACAGAACCCCAGCAGCGTGGGGTTGGGAGAGACCTCAGGAGATCACCTCGTCCAGCCCCCCTGCTCCAGCAGTCACCCACAGCAGGGTGCCCACCCCACACCCTGTGCACCCGTGAGCCTGAGCACCCACATCTCAGAAGTGGAGGGGAAAACGGGTCCTGTTGGGGGTGCTGCACGGTGTGATGAGGTCCCCAGGACTCTGGGACACCCCGCTGACCATCAGCTTCCCCCCAGGGCGTCCCCCTTTCTGGTTTCTGAGCCCGGGCTCATCCCATCACCCCGTGGCACCTCCCAGAGATGGAATTCAGGGTCTTGAAGGTGCCCAAAGCACCAGCTCTCAGCCTGCTCCACGCAGCCTCTCACCCCCCTGCCCTTGTCCTTTCAGGAACGAGGTGACCAAAATGAAATTTGAAGGGAAGACTTTCTACCTATACGTGAGTCAGAAAGAGGTGAGTCTCCTCCCAGCCCGTGGCACTTCCCGGGCACAGCCACAGTTGCTACTGGGCAGGTTCTCCATGACCTTGGCATCACCCTGTGCCACAGGGACACGGGGCCGTGGTGGCTCTGGGGCCGTGGTGGCTCTGGGGCCACCTTCCTGCTCCTGCTGGCACCTCCCTGGGGCACCATCTGCCCCACAGGGAGGGCTCTGCCCTGAGTGGCACTGACACCTCTGGCAGCTCCTCTCTCCGCAGGATCTGCCCCATGTCCTGCATGGCTCTGGAGCAGGATCTGCCCCATGTCCTGCATGGCTCTAGAGCAGGATCTGCCCCATGTCCTGCACGGCTCTAGAGCAGG